TTTTGGAGCAGAAGTTTTACAACCAACTTTTCCGGCCAACGCTTGTTAGTCGCCTTCTACGACACACAGGGAGATACGTTTGGCCTATTCTTAAAGCCGGACCTACACAGCTGCATATATATAAAAGTAATAATGTTAATTATATACCTGTGAGGCTTGACTTTCTTGTCTGTTATCTTCTCGGGTTGAATCAACTTAAGAGGTCGAGACTTTGAAGTCACTTATATTGGGTGTCTATATTACCCTGTACAGACTACAAATTTGATATGTATGTAAACTAGCGGCGTGCCAGGCCCCGCAAATATTTGCAGTGTGTACATCTATCACCGCCTCCAATATACGCGCTGGCCCACTCAAGCTGGCCGCATGAAAGCAGGGCCAAGGCGGATAACCTTAGCCGGGGTAAGATATCCAACTTATGTTGTAGTGTGTGTGGTGTGTCTGATTACGCAACAATGCACAGGCCAGTCCTATCACTATGCTAAATACGCAATATTGAATAAGCACCATGCAAATAGCGTTATTTGGTCACCTATTGTATATGCTCAATCGTACCTCGCTGTCGTGCGGCGGGACGTGGCGAGCTGAGCAGAGAGATGATTGGACTCATTTAATGTAGAGATCAAGATGCGGCTCGTACGCTAGATTGTAGCGCCGTCGCCGGGCCTGATGGTGCTCAGTTCTAATACATATTCAATATTTTGCAGTCTGGGTAACGTATAAAACAAATATTGTAGAATTTACAAAAAAAAATTTCCATAAAAAAAGTTTTACCGCTTTCACGTGACCAATATCTCTCTCAGTACCTGTTCTAGCAGAAACAGAACGTCTTTTTATTAGGCTAAGAGACTAACAGAAACTGTCGGGGTTGAGACTGTGGCTAACTACCGTCGCAGCAAGCAAGTGAAAATATATACTTCATTTTCAGTCGGTGATGAAAGACTGAACAGATGCCACTAGACTGCTCGGAGAGCGCGTTCAGACTATGCAGAATTGTCTTCACATGACCATCTGAAAAAGCAACACCTATAATAAGTACTATAGTAGTATGTGTAATGCCCAGGCTTTTCCACGTACTCCTTTTATGCAATCTGATAGCAAAATTTTGCTTGGCCCGGAATAATGTGCTTACAAATTCTATAGGATCATCACTCATACTAAATCCTATACTATTTTTCTGACGATTGTTCGTTCTGTTCATCTGTCCGGCTTATAGGCGACAAACGGCTTGGTTCATAGAGGGCTAAAATTCGTCCACTGATGGGTGACTTGACCTGAGGAGTGTATGCGATTACGGTGCCGTTGACCTCAGACGGTTCACAAGCCGTCACAAGACGGTCATTAGGATTCAAACACAGCTAATTTGGGCCTAACGAAGATATAATTATTGAAGTATGTATAAGTATACAAAAATGCCTAGACACACAAGAATGGCATGGAGGGATGAGTCAGATCTAAAATCTTGAGAGACAGGAGTCGTGGAGGGACAACACTTCAATCTCTGCGGCCAATGAAAACGAGTACGAGACTTTTTATGAAAGAACAATCTTTCAAACTGGTTTGTCAGAGATTGCTTTACCCTTACATATTTTGCTTCTCATTGTGAACTGGATGTTAATGGTGCTTGTTTTTATTCATTATTTATTCTCACCTGCCAAAATGGAAACGAGCACCAGTGTATAAAGCATACTCTAATATCTTATACTTTTAACCATATAGAACTCTTTTTCGTTATGGCACCCTTAAAGTGGGAGTGGGTATATCGTATTATATGTAGTATGAATTGTTAGTATGATTATTATATAGGACTTACTATATTATATATATATATATATACTACATAACCAAATAGTAAATTTCAGATAATACCCAAGTGGATTTCTACTTCATGTATAAACGTACCACTTTCATAGATGTGCTCCATTTATCTACTGGTCGTAATAGAAAAAAAAGTTTGAATCTGTTTTCTTGCCATCAGCCACAACCTGACAATATATAGTATTAGAAATTTCAAATGAAACATAAATGATTTAAAATATTAGAGAATCGCATATACGACCTTAGTAGTTAATATTTACTGTTTCTAGGCTATATAATTCAGGCCCTAGCCTAGGATTCTTTTCGTGCCAAACAATTAGCCAGAATCAATTTTATTATTCCAATTTGATTTCCCTTTATGCCACAATCTGTTAGCTAACATTTTCCGAACACAAAAAGGCTAATAAATAATTTTCTTTTCTTTATTTTTTCCAAACTTTTATAATGCATGAAGTTACAAAACTACACTTATTTTAATGCCAAACAACTATTATTCCCATCCTGTCTATAACTCGAGACACTAACACCATGATTCACCCTGGACTCTGACTGATCAGCAGAGACATTAAAATTGGTCTGATTTTTTTCTTCACATGCTGGCAGGAAATTCCTATCTGTTCTTGGCACACAAACTGGACATAGCACTTTTCAAATCAACATCTCTTCTTCTGGGCTTCAATTTGATGGCTTTAGAAATGTCCAAACACTTTCTGTTTTCAGAGTTATTTTCAGAGCTGTTAATTAACCAATTATGTCTGCCGCTAAAACCTGGCCACATCAACTTTGTGGCATGGTAGGGTCAAACAGCTACTTTTTCAGTACATGCGCACATTACCGCACGCACGCGTGCAGTACAGTATGGACAGTACTTATACACACATAATAATAGTTATTTTACAGATAATACTAATAGTTTACGGAAGAGTTTTCATCAGCACATGCATTATACTCTACTTACTTTTTGTAGACTTCGGATGCTATTCGACCTGAAAAATTAGCTGCTCATCCACGAAGCTGACTAGATTCCCCACGTTATATTATCAGTTTGTACTTACGTTTTACAGTACCTACAGCACAGTAACACGCGGCACACACACCTAGCACGCATGCAACGCACCCAACGGCGCGCACACCATACACACGTACGAGTGAGTAAAAATCTTTGACTTATTGCAGCGTAGTGTTGCCGTGCCTGTGCCGTGTGTGGTATGACAGGCTTATTTTAAACACCAGGATTTCTTCTGGAGGTCAAATTAGGACAACAGGTGGTAATGCAGTTGGGGGAACAACGCACATGATGGATTCTCAATAAGGCGCTGATATGGTACGACATATGCTTCAGCAGGCAGACGCAAGGGGGGGGAGAAAGGTAGAGGGGGTTGCTGGGGTCTTCCCCGCAAATTTAAAACATTTGATGCTCTTATACTGCCTTTGATGCACCTCAAAAATAAAATTTCACCTTTATTTAAATCTTTACTTCTGATACGCAGAGCCTAAAAGTTTATCGCTGCGCATTTCGCGGCGAGACTCACGGTATCTAGCGTTTAATTACAGAGATATTAACATTTATTAGGTCTTGCTGCATCTAATGTACCAAAAGGCGAGACAAATATCTGTCAATGAAATCTTGCTAACGACAGACGAGTGTGCACCACGCTGTTTGTGCTTATATAATATGTATATAATTGCCAAACCTCTACTCAATTTGCATATATTTTTTTAATATATCAAAACCCTAGCCGCTTATTCTTTAATACTAAAAATGAGCAAATCCGTGGAACCTGAACCTGACTAATGGCAGATTCTCATTTTGCCAAAGAAATTTGCGTTGGCTACAGAAAGTACGTCGACTGGGTGCTTCAAACTGTAGGACGTTTAATAATGGGCGACATAGCAGTAAGCAACTATACCCAAATTTCAAACATGTGGGTCAACCGGTTACTGATTATCGCTTGACGCGACGGCCGGCGTAGCGACGGACAACGACCTCATAGCCTCTCAGCTTTGACGATGTCAAGGTGAGCCTAATAATATATGATCAATACAATCACTCTTTAGGAGTAAATAAATACAAAGCGAGTGTACAAGGCTTAATTGGTTATAAATTGAGCATTTTCCGGCCGATATTTACACTGACAACTTTGATATTATTGAACTAATTAAGTTATCAAGTAGCTCTTATGCTAGCGCGTAGATTCTACCTGCATTGCGGGGAATCGTTTTTCCTATATTATACTCATTCGCATCGTGGAGATATTGCTAAGCAAAATTCTCACACTGCTGACGTGAGGTATTGTGCAAATAGAATGGACTGAGTTATTTTACAAACCTCGAAATAGCTCTGGACAAATTGTGCATAAAATTGATAAGGTGTTGTATTGGATTTCTGAGATTCATGATAGCAGGTTTGTTCATGTGTGCCACTGGCACTGGCACTGTGGTGAGGTCTGGGTGAACTTTGTCGTTACGGTCGGTCGCTGTCGCTGCAGTGTGTCTTGGCCTTAAATCGTTCATTCTCTGTTACTTCTGGTCTTTGTCTCCGTTTAGTTTCATTTATAGTTTTTTCTATACGACTCACGATTTCTAATTATGTAGTGCACAACTCGCATTTACAATATAAACTAAAACATATGACATGGTTTTCAAAAATTTCCACAACTTAAACCGTCTGGCACCCGATGTATTTACTATTTTAAAACCAACTCTGACTAATGAGTAATGACTAATGTCCCGAGTAATGATAAGGAATGTGTTGCACTGTTGGTAACAGGTAAGGTACTGACGTGCAGTCTTGGTTAAAATTGACGAATAAAACGTCTTTCGCCCCATCCTGTGCCTGATTTCCTAAATTCATCAGGTCTGAGAATCCCCTCGCTAGGTAATCCAGGTTTGTAATGTGCTTGAAAACTAGAAACTGTTACTACTATACATTCTTCAATTTCTTGAACAAAAACAGACTTAACCGGATGTTCCTATGTGCGCAGCCGCGTATCTCGTGACGTCACGTCCTACTCTAACATCATTTTAAACACTCGTATTTTTAAACACTACTATATTTTTATTTTTATTTTCTGAATAAAAACATTTACAGTAATTAAACTTACACTCGCTTAAATTTAACATTTAGCTTGTGCTCCTGCGCCAGAGCTGGTTGTGGTGATGACATTTTACATCATCATCGTCGAAACATGTGAACATCAGTACGTTGCAAAAGCGTTTCCAAAATGGAGTAGCCTAATGTGATAAGAGTTGTACATTGATATTTTTCATACATTTTTTGTGACTACACGAGAAGTTAATTACGAAAACATATACGTATTTACGTTACTTCAGATTTCAAAGGTAATCGTTGATCTATAGTACCGTCTTAAATTTACAAACTGTTGTCACTACACTAAAAAATGATTGATCAAGTATTACTTGTAAGGTTAGTATTATAGTACTATATTACTATTAGTTTACTTATACTTCGACTACTAGTACTAGTATTACTTTAATATTACTAAATAGTAGTATTAGTATTACTACAGACTCAGTACAGCTATAGGGTCTATGTCCCAGGTAATTGCCGGAACGTACCTGATCAACTATGTGGGGTGATATGGTTTAGGGTTAAGATTAGGCGTTGGGTTAGGATTAATTGGATTAGGGTTAGGGTTCGGGTTAGGCGAGTAGGCGTAGGCGACCCCTAGACTCCGTTAGTGGAGTAGCGCGAGACGTACGGTTCGGCTATTTATCATGTACCAGGGTACGTTCACGTTTTTTTGCCAAAACCCCCGGTATACCGACCGTACCAGGGTACGTTCCGGCATAGTCCGAGATTCTCTGACCAATGCCCACACTGACGATTTTGGTGGTTTTGGTGTGGGTGTAGCGTCTAGAGACTCCCTATTTGCAAAAGCGTGCGATAATTCTCGATCTCCGCGAGGAGTCGCTGATTTCATTGCTCCAAACTCAACAGCGATTGGCGCTATTCAGATCAGATTCTGTGCACTTATTAGTCGAAAACTGGATGAACTTATATGCTTGCTCGCCGTTTGGTAAGCTACACTTGGTACTCTTTTACCTTAGTCGTATTTCGAGTTTAAAATTTGTTTGCGAACATTGTCCCTCCGCATGCAGCGGCCATCCATCGGTGCATCCAACTGCATTGTGGGAACAGCAGAAGTAGCGTTATTTGATTAGCGTGTTTCCCACAATGCAGTTGGATTGAAACGAATGGCGTATGGCCGAATGCAGTGTGGACGGGAAATTTTGCTTAGCAACAAGATTTTCAAATCGAATCGGCTTAAGCGTAAAGAGCTACAAGTGTAGCTTTACCCAAGCGCCGAGCCAAGCCATATAAGTTATCACGTTTCGATATATTGTGCATCAGAGTCTTTGAGTTGATTAAGCCCGATTGTGAGGTTTGGAGATATTTGAAACACGCGGATCTCTCGGCGGGATTCGGAGAACATTCTACGTTTAATTGGCATAGGGAAGTTGCTCTGATAACACACCAAAAACCACAAAAAATCGTCTGGTGTGGGCATTTGGTCAGGGAATCCCTCGGACTGTTCCCGCAGTACCGGGGGACAGAGACCATTCAGCCTCAGTTACCAGTCTGTACAGACTAAAGAAGCCTACGACAATATAGTACAGTCGGTTCAAAGGCATAGAGAACATGGGTCCCAATAAACCAATGTCATTTACATCAATATAAAAATATATAATATATAATTATTCAATATAATAGGTTTATGGTTATGGGTTTTCACGGTTAGGTTAGGGTAGACCGCATACTTCTGTCCCATATAACCTTTTTATATTTTTGGTGTAGGCGTTTATATTGGACGACGGGTTCATTGAAATTTCGTGAGATTCGCATGCAAAATGCATGCGCTGAGGAATGCGGCCGTATTGCCGCCTATTGGCCGAAAAAAACTACCGTTCCTTCTACATGTGTCTTTACCTTGCTTAATGATATGTGTATACATTCATCTTCAATCGTTATTCATCTTCTTAAAGATTGTTTTTCCATACACGCTTCGTTCCAACTTTCTAAATTAAGTCGCCATTTACAAACAATCAGACCAATCAGAGCGAGTCCTTAACATAGCCCCTGGTTCTCGCTTGTATCCTTTGATGGCGACTTGCGGAGCCTGATAGACTCGCTGTGTTCGGTCTGATTAAGTTGTTGCTAAATGGCGATGTAATTTAGGAAAGTTGAACGAACGGTTGTTTATGAAAAACAATCTTTTAAGAATCCTGTGGAATAACGATTGAGTGAATGTATCACTGGGTGAGTAGTTTGCAACAAAACCGGTATGCAATATATTGCATACGACAAAACCGTATTTGCCCAATATGTTTCAATACGTATTGGGCAAGTGTATACCATGCCATGATATTCAGCTAACAATTTGATCGTTTTAATATCATCATAGTATTGTATTATATGACATTATTATTTCTCATGTTTTTTCTTGGAGAAACGAAGCACGCAATGGGTTTCTGTGGACATTGCAGCCCTTCGATGCGGCCGTAACAATTCCCCGCTGTACTGATCAAATATCAGAGGCAATAGAGATAGAGCATGGGAATACACATCCCTGCCTGCATAATTGGCTGAAACTGAAACTGAACTGACACAGTGGGTGCCCGCTTCAGCTTGGTTATCGCGCTGCGCGCGGGCACTCAGGTGAAGGCAGAGGCTTTATAGACTCCCCGGGTTGGCGTTGCCTTTCTGCTCGCTCACAGGTCTGCCCCACCTCTGCCACGCGCAGTTGTAGCCGCGCATTCTCCATGCAGTGGGTCGTTACCAGTATTAACTAGTATTTTAAAATTTATTTTTACGCCGTGCAGGCATTGTGCTTTAGTAATAATACACGCCAGTGCCTAACTTTCGGCGTAACATATAGACTAAAGGCCAAGTGTCAAGTATGTTATTTCTTGTTATTACCACCGTTATCGTTAAAATCCTCGATATCCGGAAGTTGTATCGCATTGTATATCGGAGTTTTCAAAATATTATTGCAATATACGAGATATACCAAGATTATGTTTACACCCTAGTATACACATCAGTGCAAGGCAGTAAGCCATGGTAGAGGAATGGTAGGTTTTTTGTCGCGCTAATGCGCGTAGGGCCCCGCATTCTCAGCGCATGCATTTGCGATGGCGGATCGTCACGAAGTCTCCACATGCAACCCGCGTTCTGGTCCCAATATAACCGCTCACCAGATGATAAAAAGGTTATATGGGACCGATTATTCGGGTCTAGGTTTAGGGTTAGGAGTTAGGGTTAGGGTTTGAGGCCGACATGGTGGTTTTTGGCCGCATGTAATATATATCCTTGGGCCGTCAGCAGGTCTGTACTAGCTCTGTATATAGCCTGCGTACTTGACTTGCCGCAGGTATGGAAACATCTTTCAGCTAGATTTCGTGCATAGAACCCAGTCCCACAAGTTCCCACGAAAATCGGCTTTACACAACGCCAAAGTTATCGGGCTTTTCTAACATTAATGCTTATCTGTCTACATGGACATTCACCTTCTTTTTGACACTGTCCACAACTTTTACCAGGGTATTTATGCCTTTAAGTTTAATAGGTTTTATGCCTCACAGAGTGCAGCACTACTGCGCGCTGAGAGGGTCTTGGCCCCAGGGTACTCGGCCGGGAACCTACCGCTGGGTCGGTCGGTATCCGGAAGTTCCTTGGTATATCTAATATGCCGGGACGTTACCTTGGCCTATCCACTAACGAGTCAAGGGAGTCGCCTGACGCCTACTCCCTACCTAACCCAATCCTAATCCCTAACCATATCAAATAGTTACCAGGGTACGTTCCGGCAGTACCCTGGGGGACATAGACCCTATGAGCACTACTAGCTGTATCGTTTGAAATATTGTGGCGTGTGAATGCGTGACGTCACCGGTATTGTATATACATGCACCCTAGCTGCCATGTGTTTTGCTTACATATCCGGTGACGTCACGCCACAATATTTCAAACGGTACAGCCAGTAGTGCTGACTTGTGAGGAATAAAGCTATTAAAGGCATAAATACATGGTGTAAAGTTGTGGAAAGTGTTCAAAAAGATCTATGTGAGATGTCCACATAGATAGATAAGTGTTAAAAAGCCCGATCATTTTGGGTTTTGTAAAGCGATTTTTCGTGGGAACTTTGGGAACTGTTGCAGCAGCGAAATCTAGCTGAAAATGTTTTATAGCCCTGCGGCAGTCAATGTAAGCGGGCTATAGTACTACAGTTAAGTCTGTACAGACTACAGTACAGTACTCAGGACAGTACGTCGTCAGTAGTACTAGTAGTATTACGTGCAGGGGTAGAAATTGGTTTGAAAATTTACAGGCCAGCTGGGCCTGCCCCTGTAGGTAAGGGATTTTACACTTACAGGCCTGCCAGGCAAATTACAGTCCCGGTTGCGGTAACTTTTCATCCTCGCTGGCGTGCCGAGGCCGGTTTTGCATGCTGGGGGAGGATTTTCTACGGGCCCGTCGGGCCTGCTAGTATTACTATTAGAAATGTCAGGCCCGAGCCTTAACGTACGGGCATCGGGCCCGCTAGGATTTCGAACCCTGATGTTCATAGTTAAGAATAGCACAGTTCTAAGTACAAAGAAGTAGTCATAGATATCATGAGTTAGATATTGATATGTTTTGTTGCAGCGCTTTGGTAGCTACAAGTTTGGTCGCTTTGTCTGCTTGTGACCTTCCCACCTAGTGAGAAGGTAACTTGTGTCTAGTTTATTTATGTACATCTGCTAGTGATCCAACAAGTATCAAATGTTGCCCAAAATAGTTCTGACACCTTGCAACACACCTTACTGTAAGGCGCGCGTTTGTCGACATAATAGCTCATTATGTCTCTTTATTCGCTAACATTTTTAATTCAAACGTGCGACTTGAATTTTAGGCATTTTTTTAAATTTTTCTTGGTAAATATGAAACTAACAGAAAAAATTCTGATGCTCTATTTTGGTACATATTGTGCTTAACATGTTGCGAAATCATTTTCTATCCTCACTCTTTTTGGTAATTGAGAAATATCCAAAATGCCATTTTTACATAAAAATTCAAAATTTGTGTGGTAACATAATTAGGTGCTGGAAATTTCATGAAAATTTTTGGCTTGAGCATAGAGATATATGATATAATATCTCCTCTATAAATAAAACAAGTGATTGATTTGATTCATTCATCAATAAACGTTTAATCTTCATTAATGAGCAATACCCGTGCAAAAGGTGAAGAGTATCCTTAATGTAGAAATAAAAATAGGCACAGATTTAAGGAAATACTTTAGTCAAAGAATAGATGTTGGTGGTATAGAGGTACTCCTTTCCTACCTTCATTTCTTACTTCTGGGTTGAATCACTTAAGAGTCGAGACTTTGAAGTCATTATATGGGCTGTTATAATACCCCGTACAGACTACAAATTTGATATAGTATTAAACTAGCGCGTGCCAGGCCCGCGCCAAATATTTGCAGTGTGTACATGCTATCCCGCTCCAAATACGCGCTGGCCCACTCCAAGTTGGCCCCGCAAATGAAGCAGGGCCAGGCCCGGAATAACTTAGCCCGGGGTAAGATAGCCCACTTATGTGTGTGTGTGTGTGTCTGTACGCAACAAGCAGGCCAGATCCTAATCATATGCTAAATCGCAATATGAATAAGCATGCACATAGCGTTATTTAGGTCACCTAATTGTATGCTCACTGTACCTCGCTGTCTGCGGGGTGACGTGGCGAGCTGAGCAGAGAACTGATGACTCATTTAATGTAGGATCAAATATGCAGTCTGTACGCTACGATTTAGCGCGCGTCCGGCCCGGGCCTGATGCGTGCTAGTTTAATACCATATCAAATTTTGCAGTCTGTACGGGGTATAAGTATAAAACAAATATTGTTAGAATACAAAAAAAAATTTCCATAAAAAAAAAGTTTTACCTGCTTACCGTGACCAATTTCTTTCAGCCCGTTAGCAGAAACAAACGTCTTTTTTTAGGCCTAAGCGAGACTACAGAATACATTCGGAGTGTTGGGACTGTGGCCTAACTACCTCGCAGCAAGCAAGCAAATATATACCTTCAATTTTCGTGGTGATGAAAGACTAACAATTGCCACTAGACTGCTCGAGAAGAGCCGTTCAACTATGCAGATGTCTTCACATGCATCTGAAAAAACAACACTATAATAGTACTATAGTAGTATGTTTTAATGGCCAGGCTTTTTCCACGTACTCCTTTTATGCAATCGATAGCAAAATGCCATTGCAATAATGTGCTTACAAATTCTATAGGTCATCTATACTAAATCTATACTAATATTTCTGACGATTGTTCGTCTGTTCATCTGTCCGGCTATAGGCGACCAAACGGTTGGTTCATAGGGGCTGAAAATTCGTCCACATGGGTGACTTGACCCGAGGAGTGTAGTGGGATAGGTGCCGTTGACCTCAGAGGTCACTAGCCGTCACAAGAGGTCATTGGATTCAAAAACAGTAATTTGTGGCTAAACGAAGATATAATTAGTTATGAAGTTGTATAAGTATAACAAAAATGTTCCTAGACCACACAAATGCGTGGGCGGATGAAGTCAGATCTAAACTCTGAGATCACAGGAGGTCGTGGAGGGACAACACTTCAATCTCTGGCCAGAGAAAACGAGATACAGACTTTTTATGAAGAACAATCTTTCAAACTGTGTTTGTCAGAATATGCTTTACCCCTTCATATTTTGTTTCTCACTTGTGACTGGATGTTTACTGTGCTTGTTTTTATTCATTATTTATTATCACCTGCCAAATGGAAACAGCACCAGTGTAAACATATCTACATATCTATATTTAAATTATAGACCTTTTTTATGGCACACCTTAAATTGGGAGTGGTATATGATATATATACGTAGTATGATTATATATATAATATAGGGACTACATATATATATATTCTTCATGTATCATATATCTTCATGTATAAACGTACCACTTTCATAGATGTGCTCCAATTTATCTACTGACGTAATAGAAAAAAGTTTGAATCCTGTTTTCGTGCCCACAGCCACAGACCTGCAATAATAGGATTTAAAATTTCAAATGAAACATAAAGAATTAAATATAGAAATGCATACAGACTTACTAGTATATTACTGTTTCTATGTATATAATTCAGGGCCCTAGCTAGGATTCTTTTCCTGTAGCCAAACAATTAGCCAGAATCAATTTTCATTAGCCAATTTGAGTTCCTGTTAGCCACATCTGTAGCCTAACATTTTCTGAGTAGAAATAAAAATAGGCACAGATTTAAGGAAATACTTTAGTCAAAGAATAGATGTTGGTGGTATAGAGGTACTCCTTTCCTACCTTCATTTCTTCTCTATTTAGTATGAGTTGTTATATTATACCCTTTGCTTCATTATACGAAATCCAGCTGATGAGGTTGGTGTGGCTGCCGACAAGTTGTAGGTATCTCAATGCCCGACCAACCACCCAAGTTTCCTTATCTCACCTCTTTAATTTATTGTCTATTTACTGCTTCAGAACTGAGCTGTGTCCATTCTGCTTCAGCTTGTGATGGTACACTAAGTGACCATGTCAGATCTGGAAGTGGTCGAAGTTCGATCGACTGAAACAAGAAGCGATTCATCAGAGGAGGAGGGAGAATTCATGTCACCAAAGCCTGACGGCGAGGAAACGTAAGGCTGATGCTCAGTGATGGTTGCAGTGGGTTCCTAGTTTTTATAATCGCAATTCTTGCAAACAGACGGTTTTAGCTCTGACGGTGCAAAATGGTGGCCATGGTTACAGTACCGTGAGTTTATTTCTCGTCGTTTTCAAACAGATCTCCCTCTTGAAAGTATTTCCGGCATGATCTCGGATGTGCTCATCTTTCATTTCTTTTCGGCATCAGGAAGTTTTTACATTTATGTAATGTTTGTTTATGGAATATTTCCTTTGAACTGAAGTCATCTAAATGTGCAAAATTGCATTCTGAGTTACCTTATAGTAGTACAATTTTGCTATTAGTCGTGTGTTAAATTATACAAATGATTGCCTTGTCACTGATGCTGTCGTGGCTTACAGTTTACGTGCTGCTGCTTCACGCAGGATCGAGGAAGCTGAAATGGACACTGTGATGGAAGATGCACTCCTTATTAAGCCGCCACAAGCTCATGCGGCACAGCGCAAATCTAAGAAGAAGGACCGGGACAGGCATAGAGATGATTGTACGTCTATGAACTTCGATCAGTTACAGATTGGTGATCATGTGCTTGAATGCTATATAGCAGTGTTAGAGCTTTAAAATAAAAACCACTCGCCAAACTGGGCGAGTGAGTCAATAAGTTAACTCGCCCAAACGGAATCTGTACTCGCCCAAATTTTAAAACAAAAATGCTTGTCAAACAATAGTGAAAAAATACAAAAACACCATTGATTTAACTACACATGTAATTCATTGATCACTTTTCTCAAAAATTCAAGGCACATCTCCTCTGAAAGTTCCTGTTTTCATTTTCATTTACTTTACTTTTATTCTCGGGCTGCTTTGCCCCATCAATGAAACGCCACGTTACGCCGATTTTATTGACTTTGACTCCCCCCCCTCCCCATACATCAATCAATATGCCGCCCCAGGCATGTATACACAGCCACGCTGTGCTGGCGCTGCACGCTCTCGCGGGCTGCTTTCTTCCGCGACCTTTGATAATATAAAGTGAGGATGTCGTGGGATAGCCGTCCTTCACAATCGCTACAACTGTATTTCATCAATGTTTGGATATATATATCGTAAGGAACCAACATTTGATTAAAGTTTTAGACAATTATTTTTACTCTTCAACATGGGCGAGTCAGCTTTAGCTTTCACTCGACATTGGCGAGCGGGCGAGTGCCAAGCTCGCACGCTGTGTAGTCGTATTTAAATGTGTTTCTAGATTGCTTTCTGATGCTCAGCGTCACACATTTCCCTTTATTACTGTTTAAAACTAATCAGGTTCACTTAGTAGAATCACATTAGCATATGTGCGTGATCTGTAACGGGGCATATCTAAACTGAGTGGCATACAGTGTTCATGTTTGGCATGTGGGGGGGCTTTATAAAAGGTGGCATCAGGTCAAAAATAGGATTCAGACGAGAAACAGTGCAGATATGATCTTTCAGTCCTTAATTTAAGTAATATGACCAGAGTTGAGACGCACAGTCATAGTGCAGACCTGTGATTGCAGCAGGGAAATAAATAAAATTTATTTTTCGGGGGCTACTTTTCAAGCTCGCGTGCATGAAAATAGCACTCTAAAATTTGGTTTGCATTGAACTCTATGCAAATTTACGGGGGCTCTTTTTGGCATTTCCGGGGCTCTTTTTGGCATTTCGGGGGCTAAATCGCCCCGAGCCCCCGTGTATTTTTTTCACTGGATTGCAGAGTGAGATCTTGCATCTTCATATACCCATTTTCGGCCTCACTGTCGAGCTGTTGTTGATTGTCTTCTGCTGCAACAGCAAAGCACAGAGATCGCGACAGGCGGAAGCACAAAGACCGAGATCGAAATAGGGACAAGGATCGCACCGAGGAGAGGCGGCATCGCGAGCGGGAGGACTTCCGGGAGAAGAAGGAGAGGGCGCGCAAAGAGGAAGGTCGCGAGGAGAAGGGCGAGTCTGCAAAGGATGAAGAGCGGCGGCTAAAGAATGATCAGAAGATTGACCGACGGTCAAAGGACGAGCTGCGAAGCGAGAAGGACAAGCGATCAAAAGACAGGTCCGATTTGTTTTACTCTGGCTTAGCAAAGTCAATGCATCAAGGTTTTACATGCGATCGTTTGTTCATGACTTACCAGGATCTCTCGTCGTAACGTGAATAATTTGGTATTGGCTCAAGGCAATTGGACCCTCTAACTATTTCTTTGTTATAGAAAATTCAAGCCAGCCATCTGAATCATACATACTAAATAAAGTTAATGATTTTTAAATTTCTTGTTTTGCAGTTAAATTGCTAACTGCATGCATTTCACTGCTAAATGAATAAAATTACATACACCCTCCACAAATATTATTAAATTAATCGTAAACTTATCATAAAATAGGAGGGAGAAGGATAGAGATGACAGAAAAAGGCTGCGCGGACTTGAGGAGTTGAATTCTCGCAGGGAGAGAGAGGAATCTTTGCACGAAAGGTTGGTCGTAGTCGATCGCATTGTGGTGCAATGCTTTTCGTAAATTCTTGGCTTTCTCGTCTAGTCTTCCTGTGGCAACTATAAGAAGGATTGCTTTCCACAGGGAAAGGCTGGAGAGGTTAGAGCGCGAACAAAGAATGCGGGAGAGGCTGCTGAGAGCTGAACGCGAGAGAAGGCGGGAGCAAGAACAAGAAAAGAGACAGCGAAACAAGAAAAGGAGAGAGGGTATAGTATAGCTATCAATATAGATAGCCCATTGGTTAAAATATGTGATGGAAAGTTTTCAGAGTTCGCATTGCACCAAGTTGTTCTCACATCGCTACCAGCTTTTCTAACACTAACCGTTTTTTTACGGATGTGATCTCGCACCTTAATGGCTTTTTTTCGTTTCCTTTTAATTGCAAACAGAGAAAGTGAGCAGGGAGCGGGAGGACGAGGACGACATTCGGAACAGGAGTCGAAGCCACAGCCGAGAGCGCGAGCAGAGGAGAGATGCAGAGCAAGGTGTGGGATGTGAGAGCGACGCCACAGGAGGCATGCCGTCATCCTCTCCGGAGAAGATGATCGAGATTTTCGACTCTCCAGGTGATGACAGTTTCGACGTCGATAATGCAGTTTTTCACTTTGACTTGCTGCAAGCACCGTAACCCTGATCCGTAGCTAGGTCATGACGTCTCCGTCTTTTCTGGTCCCCCACTTTCCTGCTTTATTACTTTTTTTTAATGCTAACGACTATTTTTCGGCTGTCTCCTTCACTGGAAATCGGTAACGTGAGAACTATGTCGTGCATAACTAAAGGTAACATCGTGCGTACATCGTAACGTCATGAGGTCGCTCTCACTTGCGTAATCGTTCTTTATTAGTTTATTGTTGCGTTTATTTCCCTCGCAGTCTGTCACTATGTCGCGATATGGAACTGTGCTTTCACAACACTACAGGACGACTGCAGACAACTGTCGCTTTTGTTTAACTTTCTTGTAGAATCTCAACTTGTGTGTTGGGCACCGTGTTGTGTGGCCACACGTGGTGACGGTTGTACAGACTTCGATTGCAGCAGACTGCGACGTGTGAATAGCTACTGCTCCCACACTAGACGTGTGCTGGGCGGTGGTCCCCTGCACCATTTTCGACTTGTCTCGTTGTTTCACAGAGAGAAGTCCAACACCGCTCGGTGATGAGGTTGGAGACCATGTTGACGACGCAGGCTCGGAAGATGGCGAGTTGCCCCAAGATCAATACATGGAAGTCGTGGAGGGCATGAGCGAGCAGGGTAAGACGGTCAACTTACTGTGTATGCGTCGGTGGCTCGGACTTCTACCCTGCACAATCTCCGGTGGCAAGCAGCAATCGTTAGTGCAATCGTTGCAGGGTGTGATTGCATTGTAGGCCTGCTCTCATGAATTTTCCTTCTGCCGTTAACGGGGTGCAGAGGGGGGGTTTCCTGAGTGGAAATCTTGCGCAGCTACCAACCCAGTCTTGATGAAATGCCTCGTGTTGTTGTTGTTGCAAATGGGGTATCTGCAAAGTGTTGCGGGGATGGGGAGGGGAGGCGGCATGGCGTGCGTTGGCATTAGTGCTTTGAATGAGTTGCTGGAGTGTATGCAGGCTCTTGCCACGCACGACGTGGCAGCCACGTAGATTCCCCTTTCACGCCTGCGATTATTTCTCGTCCACAGATGAGCAGCCGAAAAAGCGGCGGCGGAAGAAGAAGAAGCACAGGGAGCCGAGCGATGCTGAGGCGGAGGAGGAGGTGCAGCCGGTTAGCGTCAGCGAGGAGGATGCTGCCAGGGAGTCTGAGGGTGAGACGAGTGATGCCAGCACCAACACAGATTCCTCCGGTGAGTGAGAGATGTTTCGCTTCGCGCCACGCGCCGGCCGGTGTCGAGGACGTTCTGTCACGCGCACGCGCGGCCCGCGTTCGTGTTGAGTCGCGTTGTCCCCCAATCAATTTGAGTCGATTCCCCCACATTGCCATGAGTCTTTATCTGGCGTGGCCAGTGGTACGTGCTTCGCTGATCGAATTTTTTCTGTGGCTTTCCGTTTGCAGACAGCGACAGTGATTCAAGTGGAGAGAGCAAGGTCAGTGAGGCCGAGAAGAAAGGAAGTGAGAAGGAGGCCTCACCCAGGTCTAGTGCAGGTAATAAAAGCGTGTCTTAGCGGTTTGCTGGCCTAAAGGGTCGTGGGATTAATTTAAACGTGGTCTAGGCACTGTCATTACATACAATTGAACTCTGTCATGGAAATCCGCCGGAGATGAGTAAGTTGACCTATCTGTCTGGGCGATATAGTCACTAACCATGCTCTTCTCAAATATTAACATGTCCCATGCTAAACATGAGTCAGCTCGTGGAAACAGCTTTGTTGCATGTTTGCTCTGTTTTCCTATAGATGCCAGAGGCAAAATGCTTAGATATCAAACAGGAATAGTCTATATTATACCAGTCTTACTATAATTATGCATCTAATATGATGCTTATTATGATGCATCTTATTTCAAAGGTGAAATTTAGAGTTTGTATGACAGTAGTAATTTCTCGGTTCAAGGGTGTTTGTTGTAAATATTGTAGCATATAATACAGTACCGTCCTGTTTTCATATCAACATATCTTTATGTTAGGAAACGATTTTCACATTTAATTTTAACGTGTGCAGTGAGATAACATTCGCCAAAGATGAATGCTTTAGAAACGTTAGCTTTCTGGCAACAAAAACGGTGGTATATCAGGGCGCGAAATTAGCACCGGCCCACCGGCATATGCCGGCAAATTATTTGGAGTGCGGTAACATTCCCAAAACACCGGCCCTCAGAGCCGGTGGTTTCAGCCATGTTAGTGAGAACCTACATTTTTAGCTTGCCTTGACATCGGTAAGATGAGCTATTGCCATGGGGTGTCGTCCGTCCGTCCGTCAACATTTGGTTACAGAGATAATTAAGCATTTATTAGGTCTTGATAGCACTAATGTACCAAAAGGCGACCAAAATATTGTCAATGAAATCTTGTAAAACGAACCAGACGAGTGTGACACCACAGACTGTTTGTGTCTATATAATATGCTATATAATTGCCAAACCCTACCTAATTTGCATAATTTTTTTTTAAATATCAAAACCCCTAGCCCTTATTCATTCACATACTAAAAATGAGCAAAATCCGTTGAACCTGAACTGACTAATGGCAATTCTCATTTTTGCCAAAAAATTGCCGTGGCTCGAAGGTACGTCGACTGGCGTGCTTCAAAATAGGACGTTTAATATGGGCGCATAGCAGTAACAACTATACCCAATTTCAAACATGTGGGTCAAACGGTTCCTGAGTTATCGTTGACGGACGGACGGACGTACGACGGACAACGACCCATGGCAATAGCTCAGCTTGACGATGTCAAGGGGAGCTAATAATATATGCATACATACTACTATTAGGAGTAAATAAATACAAAGGAGTGTACAAGGCTTAATTATTATAAATTGAGCATTTTCCAGCCATAATTTACCTACAATTTATTATATTGAACTCAATAAAGTTATCAAGTAGCTCTTAAGCTACCTTAGACATTCACCTAGCATTGGGGGAAATCGTTTTTCCTATATTATACATTCGCAATCTGGAGATATTGTAAGCAAAAATATCTCACACTTGCTGAACGTGAGGTTTGTGCAAAGAGAAGGACTGAGTTATTTACAAACACTGGAAATAGCTCTGGAAAATTTTGATGAAAATTGATAAGGGGTTCTGTATTGGATTTCTGAGATTGTCATGTAGAGTATCTTATTGAGAGATAGACTTGCATTTCTTTCTTTACATTCACAACGTAAAAGCCAAGACACACTGCAGCGACAACGACCGACCGTAACGACAAACGACTTTTCAGAAAATTAGAAACTATTGTTTCCTATGAGCCATTGCACACTGACGCGACGACCGGCGACAACCTCAACGACAAAAATATTTAGAAACGTTTCTATTTCCCAGCGACTTTCGCCGGCGACACTTTACAAATGGCCAATCACAGCCGTTTCCATCGGCACGTGACATCGCCATTACGTCATAAAATTATAAACCAATGCTAGCCAGGAAGTAGACTGGTCCCCAGCGCTAAACTCGCACCGCCTGTCAGAAACAGTGGGGCCACGAAGGGGCCGTGAACCCATTCTAACCAAAACGTCCAAGGCTACGGTCAGCCATCAGATTATTGTGTACGTTCGTATAATATGCTGCGTATATATTACTTTATTATATTATCGTTATAGTTATACATAGAGCGTTTTTACAGCAATTTATTTAA